TTATTCATTTTGGTTTTGGAGACAAATAATGAAGAAAACTGTTGTTTTTTAATTTTCTTATTTTTGGTTTTATATTGAAAAACAAATGAACGAATGATACATGGATTTTGGTCAATATTGAATCACGATTATTCAAATGATTGTTTTTTAATTACACAAGGCATTTATTCAGCAATCCTCTCTCAAAAAAACCAAAACATTTTGTTATTGATAATTTACACAAAACTTTCAAATTGAAAATAAATTCAAGCTACAGACATGAACATTAAATCAGTTTGGCGATGTATAAAACATAAAATGAATAAAATATACTTTGAACATGAAATAAGGCATAGAAAAACATAAATGTATCCAAAATAAACTATATATCCAGCTGTTCTACGATCTCTGTATCTAAAAAAGAAATAAATATATTTATTTATTCAAAAAATATCCCAAAATAAACTTCATTTCAACTGCATTATGTGAGTTTGGAGATTGTTTAAGACACAAATCGAAATCAAAATTCGATTAATTGCTCAACTTTAATATGTGTATTGATTTTTACAAGACAATATATACACATAGTTTATATAATCAGACTATTTTGATACACATTTTATTTTTTTGTAAAGAAAAAAAAAATACACATCTCAGTAGCAGAAAAAAAAAAAAAAAGTGGAATAAAGACAGTTTCTTAGATAAGAAGTCTCGCCAGCTTTTCCATATTTGCTCAAATTTCTCTGTTTCTAATCTTAAAGTATTAGTCAGTTTCTCCGTAATATAAATATCATCCAACGCCTCATCCCAGTTTTCCATTTCTGGTCCTTTATTATTAGTCTGTCTACATCTTCAAAGCTCAAAATGCTCTGCTCCACTTTGTTTTCAATTTAACGGCTCCTTTTAGCTTCAGTTCAGCAGAGATCGGCAATTCCAGGGCTGAAATGATCCCAGTGATTCTAGTGAAGGTGTACGGAGTTTAAAAACACAGTGGAGCGCTTCCTGTATTACCACATGACATCATAAAGGTGTAAAGTGTTGGTGTGAATGAAACAAAACACAACTCGGAGCATGTTTGCGATGATTAAACAACATTATAACTAGGGCTGGGTGTCATTAAGACGATACGATACCTCGATACACAGGCCACGATTTGATACTTTTTCGATACAGTGCACTTTCGATTTGATACGATATATTTCAAATCGATTCAGTACAGTTCAGTTAAATAAATCATCGCCTTAATTCTACAGTCAGTTTATGATCCGTGTGTCATTTGTTCATTCATTTTTCAAAATAAAACCAAAAATAAAACGGGGAAGAAAAAAAACAAAACAAAAAAAAAAAACTATCTCCAGTCTCTGGTCTCGGTCTGGTCTTGGTCTGGTCTTGGTCTGGTCTTGGTCTGGTCTTGGACTGGTCTTGGTCTGGTCTTGGACTGGTCCCATTCTGGTCTCGGTCTGGTCCTGGTCTCATTCACCGTCTGGTCCCGGTCTCAGTCCCGGTCTCAGTCCCGGTCAGTCCTCAGTCCCGGTCTCAGTCCTGGTCTAGTCCCGTTCTGGTCTTTGTCTGGTCTTGGTCTGGTCTTGGTCTGGTCTTGGTCTGGTCTTGGTCTGGTCTTGGTCTGGTCTTGGTCTGGTCTTGGTCTGGTCTTTGTCTGGTCTTGGACTGGTTTTGGACTAGTCTTGGACTGGTCCCATTCTGGTCTTGGTCTGGTCCTGGTCTCATTCACCGTCTGGTCCTGGACTGGTCTCAGTCCCGGTCTCAGTCCCGGTCTCAGTCCCAGGTCACAGTCCTGGTGTCAGTTCCAGTCTGGTCCCGGTCTCAATCCTGGTCTTAGTTCTTGTCTAGTTCCGGTCTCAATCCTGGTCCTGTTCCTGGTCTCAATCCTGGTCTTAGTTCTGGTCTGGTCCCGGTCTCAGTCCCGGTCTGGTCCCGATCTGATCCTGGTCTCAGTCCCTGTCTGGTCCCGGTCTCAGTCCCAGATTCATTCTCGGTCTGGTCCTGGACTGGTCCCGGTCTCAGTCCTGGTCTAGTCATGGTCTGGTCCCGGTCTCAATCCTTCTTGCTCTCAGTCCCGGTCTGGTTCCGGTCTGGTTCCAGTCTGGTCCCGGACCTGGTTCAGTCCTGGTTCAGTCCAGCACCTCAGTTTAAATCACGTAAAAGGGAAACGACCATTATCCGTTTTTGTTTTTTTTCCATTTTTCATTTAAACACAAAATGGAAAACTGAAAAAACAAATCATTATCTGTTTTTTCATTTTGGTTTTGGAGACAAATAAAGAAAAAAAAAACACTTTTCGTTTTCTTATTTTTGCTTTTACATTGACAAACAAATGAACGAACGACACACGGCTTGTTTACCCTCATTCCGACAGTAAAATAAAAATAAATAAAGTTCATATCCGGCTGTTCTCCGCGCAGATATAACGGCGATAGTATTAGTGGCAGTTGAATTGACAGTCCTATTATTAAAACTGCTCCTGGGATAGAGTTTATTGACTTTTTGGTTTTAAGGCCTCACGCACCAGATTCACAGTATTGATCCTTTAAACTACACTACCCTTTATTACGTCTGCGTTAAAAGGATCTGGAGGAAACGTCAATCTGCACCGTGGCCCTCAGCCCGATGTTCAAATAATACATATATTTTAGAGTTTTACAGCACTTTCTTCACATAAATAACGTTTTTAAATACTTAATTAGAGCTACAGTCAGTCTATAATCCATGTGTCATTTGTTCATTCATTTTTCAAAGTAAAACCAAAAATAAAACTATCCCAGTCCTGGTCTCAGTCCTGGTCTCAGTCCTGTTCTGGTCTTTGTCTTGTCTTTGTCTGGTCTTGGTTTGGTCTTGGACTGGTCTTGATCTGGTCTTGAACTGGTCTTGGTCTGGTCTTGGTCTGGTCTTGGACTGGTCTTGGCCTGGTCCTATTCTGGTCCTGGACTGGTCCCGGTCTCAGTCCCGATCTCAGTCCCGATCTCAGTCCCGATCTCAGTCCCGGTCTCAGTCCCGGTCTCAGTCCTCTCAGTCCCATCTCAGTCCCAATCTCAGTCCCAATCTCAGTCCTGGTCTGGTCCCAGTCCTGGTGTCAGTTCCAGTCTGGTCCCGGTCTCGATCCTGGTCTTAGTTCTTGTCTAGTTCCGGTCTCAATCCTGGTCCTGTTCCTGTCTCAATCCTGGTCCTGTTCCTGGTCTCAATCCTGGTCCTGTTCCTGGTCTCAATCCTGGTCTTAGTTCTGGTCTGGTCCCGGTCTAAGTCCCGGTCTGGTCCCGGTCTGGTCCCGGTCTGGTCCCGGTCTGGTCCCGGTCTGGTCCCGATCTGATCCTGGTCTGGTCCTGGTCTCAGTCCCAGACTCATTCTCGGTCTGGTCCTGGACTGGTCCCGGTCTCAGTCCTGGTCTAGTCATGGTCTGGTCCCAGTCTCAATCCTTCTTTGTTGTGTTCAAATAATACAAATATTTTAGAGTTTTACAGCACTTTCTTCACATAAATAACAGGTTTTTAAATACTTAATTAGAGCGATTTTGATTTTAAAGCTCCTATATTTCACAAATTTTACTCTTTGAGCTGTTGTTACCTCCTCAAAAACAGACCTGGAGTTGTGTTTTCATTCGCACGTGTTTGAGTAATCCTTTTTTTTATTAGTCTGTTCGCATCCCCAAAGCTCAAAATCCAGCTTGTGATGTCATGAAGTGGTATTTTTCAAGTTGACAGCTCCATTTTAGTTTTCAGTTCAGGCGAGTCACAGTCTCAAGTTTAAATCACGTAAAAGGGAAAACGACCATTATCCGGTGGTGTTTTCTTTTTAGAACCATTTTTGAAACAAAACTTCATTTAAACACAAAATGGAAAACTGAAAAAACAAATCATTATCTGTGTTTTCATTTTGGTTCTGTAGCATCGTCGTCGTTGTTCACCTTTAAGTTTTCGTCTTTCTTAACTTTTATAGTTATGGATAAATTCTTCATGGACAGAATGTTTATCCTTTGTCGACCTTGTTGGTTGAAGATTTGGTGACGGGGCAGATTTATGAAGCTGGTGGAAAATACACGAGACATTTCCACAGATATTTTGCCGTAGAAAAGCTTTAACCGGAAGTGACGTGAAGTTTACCCTGCATCGCGGCACTTCCGGCCATTGTGAAAAGGTCTATTTAAATAACTTACTTACTAATACCCCATGGAAGTGTAATAACCCGTCTTTAATCTCTTTCCTTAAAGGTTGTATGGAGGATTTTTTTTAGTTTCAAACTGTCAGTGAAAGATTAAAATACCATTACAGAGACGCAGCAGCTTTGTAATTATGATGACCAAAAAAAAAAAAAAACAACGAAAATCTATCAACTGTGGACGTGTTGAGGCCAGATAAACATCAGCCAATAGAAAACGAGGCTCCCTCATTTTCTATTGGCTGTTGGGTTGTCAATCAAACTCCCTAGTATAACTGACTCGTCGGAGCGTCGGGGATTACGTGGTTTACGCAGCGGTTCTTAGAGGCTTTTTCGAACTGTCGCTTCCTCGCATTTCGCACAAAGTTTGTCGCGACGGCGGACGAGAATCCACGACCGGTTCGCCCCAAAAGAAAGTCCGTTTTTGAGGTCGCTGAAAGAAGAAGAGAAGGGAAAAAGGAGCAAAGCCAAACTGAGGTGATTCTTGGAGATCTCGTCCAGCGATGGCGCGACCGAAGCAGACGAAGGGTCTAAAAACTGACGCGTCGGTCGCTGAATTACTTCTAAACAGGTCACTTCAACAGTAATTCTGAATGCGCACAAGGACTGTCGCTGTATTTCTCTTCCCTTAAAAAAATCCTCTATACAACCTTTAATTAAAAAAAAAAAAAGAAGAAATTGGACTACACTTTACTACTCTTGTTTTGTATCCAGACGTTTACTAGACTAAAACCAATATGTCATAATGTTTTTAATGTGATAGTAACAGACTGTCTCTCTTTCTCTTTTTCCTTCTCTCCGTCCCTCCCTCTCTCCTTTCTTTCTTTCTTTTTTTTTTATCTCCCTTGTAGCCACTGCATTAGTCAGATCCTGGAGAGTGTCAATCATATCCACCAGCATGATATTGTGCACAGAGACCTCAAGGTGAGTGGATGCCCGTTGCCGTTGACAACCGCACACCTCTTTTCCCCCGTCTCCCGTGGCAACGCTCAGTCTAGCTGCAGCATCCTCTCTCATCTCTCTCATTTTTTTTTTTTTTTTTTTTTTGGGCTCTTAAGCTTTTTCCGCACGTCTCATGTAGGTTGCCTTCAAGTGAATTCTAACGCAATTTTGTTTGGTCATGTCCAAAAAGAAAATGGATTTATTACAGTTTTATGATAGTATTACGCCACAATGTGAAATAGAAATGAGCTGAGTAGTAGGTAACGATATCTAAATCTCACTGTACGATATTTATTACGATATTATAACGTAATTGTAGACACTTTTTTGCTTTTAAAATGCCTTGACAAGATTTGGTGTGATTATTTCCGACATAATTCCAAGTTAAAGTAAAAAACATATTTCTTCATGTTGCCTGCACTGAAATGAATCATGGGATATGTAGTTCCCTATGTGTATGAGCTATTGCTTATGAATTGCTTAATATAAATCAACAGTTTTCCCACAGTCATGGAAATCCTGGAAAAGTCATAGAAACTGAAAATGTCATTTTCCAGGCATGGAATTTTGTAAATTCAATGAAAGTTTTGGAAAAGTCATGGAATTTTAGTATCTCTTTTACGCAACTTCAGCACTCTGTTAAGTTCTCATTAGACTATTATGATTTGTTTAAAAGAGATGACAATAAATGCACTGACAGTATTGAATGTTTAAAAAAATGTTATCAATGTTAAAAAACTATAATACCAAACCATTTACCAAACATTTCATATTTAGCCCTAAAAGTCTGATCAATTCTACACATGTAGGTGCTGTAAAGTCATGGAAAATTCACTTTAGGTCATGAAAAAATCATAGAAATTTTGGAAATTTTGTCAGTGAAAAAGAATGAGACCCCTGAACAATGCATTAAAGCAGGGGTGTCAAACTCATTTTGGTCCGGGGGCCGTATCCAACGTATTTTGATCCCAAAGGGGCCGGATCAGAAAACTCATGTCATATAAACCCCAAAAATAACAATAAGTTCAAATATTTGTGCAGAGAAACGCAAATCTATTACAGAAATCTTTTTTAATTGATGAACTCTTTCTTATTATAATATTATAATATTATGAACAACCTGAAACTTTAAGAAAAATACAATTTCAACACAATGTTTTAACATTAACTCATATGCAAATAGGAATAAGTAAATTTTTCACTCTGCGTCCACTTTTCTCATGTTGGACATTTTTTCTGATGAGGGTGTCACGGTCAACAGTCAAAACGATCGTCCTTTAAGAGCGTTTGGAAAGAGACAAGTCTTCATTTGTGCTGCTCTGGTGGGAGGGGCCACGTACAGAGACGCTGGAGACCAAATTACCAATATTTAAATAGAAAATATAATTAAAATATTTTAGTAGAAAATCAGCCGAGGGCCAGATTAAAGGTCTTATGTTTGACATCTGTGGCATTAAAGCAAAGGAACTTGTAATTCAGTATATTGTGAGACTTTGGACGATGCGAAATCACGATATTTTGATAATTGTTACATCACTAGTAGTCAGTGTTGGGAGTAACACATTATAAAAGTAATGAATTACCGTAATGCATTGCTTTTTAACGCAGTAATGTTCGGCATTACAGGGAAAAAACTGTAATATTTTACTTGGTTACAATGCTTTTTTAACCTGGATTGAAGTGGTGGGTTTTTCATTTTTCTTCATACAAATTCGCTAAAATCACTGCGATATCAGCAGCGATGAGACGCCAGAGGTGCGCCCGTGTAGACCGTCAGGAGACCGCGGGTGAAAGGACCGGCGCAGAACTCCACGCTCCACGGAGTTGACCGCATCTGACGCCTGATCGCGCCTCGCAGAGACTCTGTTCCACGGGCTCGGGGTTCTCTCAGGGGCGGTCGTAGATTCCAAGTTCTAGTCCAAGATTAGTCCTGGTTTAGACCTGATTTAGACCTGGGTCAGTTCTGGTTTAGTCCTAGTTTAGTTCTAGTTTAGACCTAGTTTAGACCTGGTTTAGTTGTTTAGTCCTGGTTTAGTCCTAGTTTAGTTCTAGTTTAGACCTAGTTTAGACCTGGTTTAGTCCTGGTTTAGTTGTCGGTTCAGTCCTGGTTTAGACCTAGTTTAGTCCTGGTTCAGCTCTGGTTAAGTCCGAGTTTAGTCCGAGTTTAGTCCGAGTTTAGTCCGAGTTTAGTCCTGGTTTAGTCCTCAGTTTAGTCCTGGTTTAGTCCTGGTTTAGTCTTGGTTTAGTCCTGGTTCAGTCCTCGGTTCAGTCCTGGTTTAGTTGTCTGTTCAGTCCTGGTTTAGACCTAGTTTAGTCCTGGTTCAGCTCTGGTTAAGTCCGAGTTTAGTCCTAGTTTAGTCCAAATTTAGTCCGAGTTTAATCCTACTTTAGTCCTACTTTAGTCCTGGTTTAGTCCTGGTTCAGTCCTAGTTTAGTCCTGGTTTAGTCCTAGTTTAGTCCTGGTTTAGTCCTCGGTTCAGTCCTGGTTTAGTCCTGGTTTAGTTGTCGGTTCAGTCCTGGTTTAGACGTAGTTTAGTCCTGGTTCAGCTCTGGTTAAGTCCGAATTTAGTCCTAGTTTAGTCCTAGTTTATTCCGAGTTTAGTCCTACTTTAGTCCTGGTTTAGTCTTGGTTTAGTCCTTGTTCTTAGTCCTAGTCCTAGTTTAGTCCTGGTTTAGTCCTCAGTTTAGTCCTGGTTTAGTCCTGGTTTAGTCCTAGTTTAGTCCTAGTTTAGTCCTGGTTTAGTCCTTGGTTTAGTCCTAGTTTAGTCCTGGTTTAGTCCTCGGTTCAGTCCTGGTTTAGTCCTGGTTCAGTCCATGTACGGCGCAAAAGTTCAGCATCTTCACAGTTATTTTGGTGAGAGTAACGTAAAAGTCCTGCAATAGTCGTGTAATATTTCACATTTTAAACACAGTAATATTGTAATGTAAAGAATGACTTTGAAATGACAGAAACACGTCATAAATAACACATTACAGTGTTAAAGTCACTTGCCCAACAGTCCTAGTAGTAGGTTAATAAAATTTGTAATGGTTTCGAGTTAAGGCAGTGTAATTAAGTGAATTTTAACTGGTTTGAGATTTCATAATTATAGTCATTGATCAACTTGGGTCTGGTTAGTAAAAAGTTTGTGGTTTGGAAAAGGGAAAAAGAAGAAGACTGTAGTCGGATATTTGATTGATTTTTATTGCTCCTATTAAATAGCAGTGATTAAAATTCTGCCTTATTTATGTTAATTAAAGGTGTAACGATTCTAGTAGAACCTGCTTGTCTCCATGGAGATGTTATTGCTTTGTCTAGAACACAGGTGTCAAACATAAGGCCCGGGGGCCAGATCCGGCCCTCCAAGACCTTTAATGTGGCCCTTGGGTGATTTTCTACTAAAATATTTTTATTATATTTTCTATTATCCTGCTGTATTTTTGAAGATGAACTGGTGTCAAGATGAAGCTCTGACAAAGGAATAAAGGGTAAAGGCATAATAAGCTTAAGCTTCAGCCTGCACCTTTTCGGTCTGTATATGTTAAATATGACTGTTTATGAATTAATGTCAAAATATACCTGTGACCGAAATAAATAAATAAATAATAAAATATTAAAATATTGGTAATTTTCTGTGGTGCTGAGCAGAGCAGCATCTCCAGCGTCTCTGTACGTGGCCCCTCCCACCAGAGCAGCACAAATGAAGACTTGTCTCTTTCCAAACGCTCTTAAAGGACGATCGTTTTGACTGTTGACCGTGACAACCTCATCAGAAAAATGTAAAAAATGAGAAAAGTGGAACCGAGTGCAGGATTTTCCAAGAAAAATTTACTTATTCCTGTTTGCATACAAGTTCATGTTAAAATATTGTGTTGAAATTGAATTTTTCTTAAAGTTTCAGGTTGTTCATAATATTATAATAAGAAAGAGTTCATCAATTAAAAAAGATTTCTGTAACAGATTTGCATTTCTCTGCACAAATATTTGAACTTATTGTTATTTTTGGGGTTTATATGACATGAGTTTTCTGATTCGGCCCCTTTAGGATCAAAGTAGGTTGGATACGGCCCCCGGACCAAAATGAGTTTGACACCCCTGGTCTAGAATGTTCCACAGTGTAGATTAAACCAACAAGCAGGGTACAGCACTACACTACACTACATTACAGTTCAGATCTGTGGAGAGGCGTCCCTTTTCACAGAAGGAATTACTGTATTTTTGTGCAATAGAAACATCTGTAATGAATAAAGTCGTACCAGGGAACATTCTAGGGAAAGCAATAACATCTCCGTGGAGATTTTGAAATTGTACGCAAGAGTTTGGGTAAATTTCGTAAACTTGAACTTTCTGTGTCCCCAGATAAAAGATAAACATTCTTAAATCAAATGTAGTTTTTACTCATAACAATTGTAATGCTGATTTATTCTTAATTACAAAAGCGTTAAACATGATGTCATATATTTAGATTATAATTTGATGTTTTGGTTCTTAAGATGATCATCCAAAGCAGAACGAGCCTCACGTGACTCTCTCGTTTGCGTTGCCAGTTTCAGAGCTGAAATCCAGTTGGTTTGAATCTAAAATGTCTCTCTCTGATCTGAACGGTCGCTCCCTAAACCCCAGAACCTGCAGCCGATCATGAGTGAGTGCTAGTGCAGCCTGTGCAGCTCAGGGAGGGAATTCTGGAGGTTCTGAGTTTTCACACGAGGCTTGTGCATAAACTGACAATGATACAAACTTGGATGTGTCTGTATCTGCAGGTTTAGGCTCTGGCAACACAGGTTCAGTTGTGATTATAATACTTTTTTAAAACGGTAAGACCCCATATATACCGACTATAAATCGCTCCGGAGTATATGTCGCACCAGCCAAAAATTGCGTAAAGAAGAAGAAAAAAAACATATAAAATTTATTCAGTTTATAAAATCAGAGACCAGGAACCCACATTTCATGTTGAAAGTCAAGTTCTAGTAATAACGATAGAACAGAACAACAGACTGTT